CTAAAGTGAAACATTTCTTGCAGAAAACTAGGGTAGCTGCAGACTGAAGTGTTGATGCCTCCTTTTTCTCAATCTTTGCTAAGATAATAAATATACTTATGGAACATGTTGGAAGTGATCAAACAGGGCTCTCTTTATGTGGTCCTGATGAGAAGTCAGGAAGAATTTTTTCTGTCCCTTTAGGTTGCAGCTACATTGTACCACGTGAGAGGTGTTACACGGTTTTGATTTGCACACCGCTGTGTTAAGACAGTGCCAGGCTGTGCATGTGCAGTGTGTGGGGTGTGTGTCCTTGTGTGAGCATGTGGAGGTACCTGCTCAGGTGGTCACCAGACTTCCTACTGGAAGTTAAGTCACAAAGATGAGATATTTCTATCATGCTGCTGAGGGACTGGACAACTGGAGACAGTGCTCCTTTCTCAGAATGGTCTTTACACTTCCTTTTCACTCTGTCCTAGTGAATCATTAAATTGACAACATGAAAGTATTACAGTTGAAAACATGGTAAATGCAAGTAGCTTCTTGATGGGCTGAGCTAATGAGTCGATGTCTTTATGGTGCTTAGATTCATATATGCTTAAGAACATGCAAACTGTGAAACATTCCCTGAATTTAAGGCATTCGTGATGTTCATTGTGGATTACCTGGCATCTAATCAGAGTCAAGTTCACTTTGAGCTCTTTTTTCTTAATGAATGCACTAACTTGTAATAATCTCTAAGTTGTAGTGATCTCTTAAGAGGCTTTTTAACTTTCATAATATGGACATAGATACTGTACTGATACTTCACAGTCAATAGTTCACATCTTCCCATCAAGTAGAAACAAAGTGATGTGGAAGAGATTATGAACAACTACAAGTTGTGTTGGAAAATTTGCATTTGAAAAGCATTATGTAAGATAGCAAATGATAAAAACAGGTAGATTTGTGAATTTAAAATAAGTTTTATTAATAGCTTAAATAACAGTGAATAGTAGAAATACTCAACTTGATTTTTTTTTTTTTCCAGAAGAAATATTTAAATGATAAATGCATAGAGATTAGCAATGTATTCTCACTGTGCAGATTTATGGTGTGACAAGCATGCTAATATCTGTAGAAAATCTGAGTATGAAAACTGAGAAATACTGAATTATGCTTATTGATTATAATTTTAAAATTTATTCCTTTTTTCAGTGTTCATGATTCCCTTGTCTTTATTTTCTGCAGTAAAATATGATATGCTTTGTAGTTGTAGTAGTTCAATATGATTAAATGCTTTTTAGGTTTTTTAGGATATGGATGAATGCATTTGAAGGCATGTTGGTGATTAGCAAATATTTTTGTCTCTCTGACCCTGCTCCTTGTGCTCTTGTCTTCATTAGGAAGAAAAAATCTGTGTGTTTAACTACATCTTGGTTCACCTGCAGCAATTAATACCAGCCAAAATCCTCATTAAGACAAAGTCATAAAGTCTTCTGATGAATGAGTCACCATGAGTAAATAATGCAGTTATTTATTTTTTGTAGGGGAATGTAGCCTTCTTGTTTGTGCCTTCTTTTTCAAAAAAGCCCAAAGAAACAAATTATGTAAATGATTTTGTACATGAGTCAAGATTGAATCCTTTAGGCTCTCTGATCCAACCTTCCATTAACGCGGGGTCCTCAGGCTTCGTCGGCTCAGAGTGTTCAGCACTGTCATGCCTGGAAGCAGGGTTTTATTAACACATAGTTACTAAAATATGAAGAATGTTAGTGTGGCTAAGGCAGCTCTTGTTTCATAGCATCGACTTGTTTGAGTTGGATTTCAGATTAACCGGTGCTTCCTGTACAATGTCCAGTATCTAAAGATGGTGGCTTTGGGAGAACAGAGAAGAATTCAGTTCTGGTTTTAAAAGCAAGTATTGGAAGCTGCCCATGTGGCAGTTCTGTGCTGAAAGCCAGGCTTTGCTTCCCTCTGGATGTGGCCCTGCGCTGCAGATTTCTGGCTGTAGGAACCAAAGTCACATGTCCCGTTATGTACTCTGTGCAAATGAGGACATGGGATAGGCTCAGCCCCTTCCAAGCCCAGCTAACCCCCAGTTCAGCTGGAAAAGAGGGGTATTCATTGAGGATAGTCTGTGTTTTCACCATGAGCTGATGAAAAGAAAGTAACTTTATGTTCTGTAACCTTGGTATCATTACACTGTGCAACTGAGGAGAAAACAGTGCTGACATACTGAAAAGTGGCTGCTTATTTATGTGAAACTGATTTGGAAATGTACTGGTTGTTTATGAATGTGATTACAACTGTGGAATCTGTGTTGCCTATAGATGCCTGCTTGTATTTCAGTGTGTGGATGAGAACCTTTAAGAACTGAAAAATGCTGTTTGAACAGTAGTTTGAGTTATTTTACTTGGGGATTTATTAGCTGTCATCTGAAAATGAGTCAGCTCTGTTAACAACCACTCTTGAATATAACCAAGGAAGTGAGCATTTTATTTGAAGAAAACCATAGTTTAAACAGTCAAGAATGCAGCGTTTTTCAGCAAATTATTTTCTTTTTTGTCTGGCCTGGAAACTGACTGGATGTCACCACAGACAGGTAATTAAGTTTTCTATGGCCACTTTTCCTCCCCATTTGCTTATGCAGGCAATTGAGGCTTGTGATCAATGAGGTGCTGTGAAAGCTTTAAAAAGCACCCAACCCACTGCATACTACATACTACAATGCAGTCTTTTTTTTTTTTTTTCTTTTTCTCCATTTCAGTCTTTTTATAAAGATCCGGAGTGGATGTGGTTCCTAGAGACTAAAAACATATGAACAGACAATACACAGTTTTTTTTTTTTACATTCAGTGAAATTTTGCATTGATAGAGACAGCAGAAAGATAGTTTAAGCATCTACAGTAAATTAAGGTTTAATGTGGTGATGTCTTGATAGTTTAGGTTGTTTTCTTCCCTAATGTTTATATTTGAAAAGCTTGAGATCTCCCTGCTCTGTGGGAATACAAGAAAAACTGTTCAGAGCAGAAGCTGTGGAGCGAGAAAACAGCACTACTGTATACACTGCAGAGGGATACTTTTACCCTCACCTTCTGGCATCTCAGTACTTTGTCTTTACCACCTGCTCTATTCCAGGTCTGCTAATACTTCTCCCCTTAGGACATAATTCATAGAATGGCCTGGATCGAAGGGGACCACAATGATCATCGAGTTTCAACCCCCTGCTATGTGCAGGGTCACCAACCACCAGCCCAGGCTGCCCAGAGCCACATCCAGCCTGGCCTTGAATGCCTCCGGGGATGGGGCATCCACAGCCTCCTTGGGCAACCTGTTCCAGTGTGACACCACTATCTATGTGAAAAACTTCCTCCTAATATCTAACCTAAACCTCCTCTGTCTCAGTTTAAAACCATTCCCCCTTGTCCTCTCGTTATCCACCCATGTAAACAACCTTACGACAATTCACGTTTGCAGTCTAGCATAAAATAAGTTTGCTTGCATTCCATCTGTGTTTGAGTTCAGCCAGAGATCAGATTGCTCCAATAAAGTGGTGCATTTTCTGTGCTTGCCTTTTCTTGATATCATTAAGTCCATTTCTTTCTTAGTCTGCTGTGGAGTTGAGATGAGATACTAAGGTGCCAGGGTTTTTTTATTTGTTAATTCATTTTCATCTTTTGAAATGAGCTCTGTAAACGAGAAGAGAGAGAGAGGAGGACACAGAAAAAGGTCCCCTGATTGTCCAGAGTCAGTGATTATTTGAAAATGTTTTTGCTCTGTTTTTTCCTTTGTGGCTTAGTTTCCTTGCCATGCAGTCAAAATTTGCAGGATCAGAGGACTTACAGAAGACTGAAGAAGTTCTGTGGAGTGGAATCATTTTGGAGCTGGAATGTGCACCTTGACCTGTGTTTTTTGAAATACTTCAAGGTACGGATAGATTTGTGGGTGGCAGACAGCTTGTTTATGGAGTGATAGATGAAACTCAAAATCCTCTCTTTTGAATGCAGTTATTCAGGTCAATATTACGAAGAAGAGACTGGAAGAAGCAACCAGAAGGATGTGATGTTTGTTTTTAAAGGAGAGAGGAAACTAGGAATGTGTTTAAGTAAGATGGAACAAATTCAGATTTATGTGTAGTACCTACACATTGAGAGAAAGAACCCCTAGATTAGAAGCTGAGTTAAAATTCTTCAGTGCAGTGAATTGTGTTATGAGGTACATAAAATCAGTATGAAGCTGAAATGTCCCTCTAAGCTCTCTCATACTAACTACAGTCATCATGCTCACCAAAGTCCTGCGTCTTTATTTCCTTATAATACTGCTCAGATGTAGAAATTAAAAATGAGCTATTTTAACGATGAAAAATCACATTCCTTATTTTGTGAACCCTACCAATACTCTGTTAAAGTACCACGTGCAGCAAAACTTTGCCTGTAGAAAAAAGATTAGTTGGCTCATCTAGAAGGAATAAAAGCCTTATTCCAAATACAATTTATACATTCTCTCACAGTTTTTGAGCTGTATAAAAAAAAAAAAAAAAAGAAAGAAAGAAAAAAGGTCTACTTAGGCAAAAATTACTGGGGTCCAAGCTCGGATGTTTGTTTCTGGTAAGATGTACAAGATCCTGATTTGTCTACCACCTCTGAATATTAGGCAGAGGTGCTGAGACTTGAATATCTGGAACCAGCTGCTTCCATGCTTCTGCAGGAATGTTTACTCACCCTCATAAAACAATCTGAGATCTTGTATCTTTGTCAGTGCAATCAGTAATTAGCAGTAATGCTGAAGAGAGAGAAAAGGCTTAGAAGCACTGTAGGGGTTTTTTTGTTTTGTTTTGTTTTTGTTTCTTTAATAAATGGTGGATTCTGACTTTATTTGCATGGCCAAATTATTTTCTATATACACTGTCTGCCAGAGATCCTTGTATAGGAAAGTCAAGTAATGAAATTCTAAAGACACTATGAATTATTGTTTCGGTATATATGCAATGCTCAATGTAAAGTGGTTTCATGCAGAAAACTGAAATGAGACACAGATGATTCATTTACACATTTATTTACTATCCTGCTTATTCTATCAGACTGAAATGGAGAACAATGCATTTATTTTACAGACATTTGACATAAATTAAACATATTTTGATGTTGAACAATTGTACAGACTACAACATGCATATTAATATGTAGATTGGTGCAGAAATACTTAGTTGATCAGCAAAATCTAGTATGACAAAAATAATAACCACATTTCCTTTGTTATGAAGTTAAAATGCAGCTGATATGGAGACATTGATACAAATACCACTAAATATGAGAAGTTATTATTCTACTGGGATCAGATGGTGAGCTGAAAAAATAAAGCTATTGACAAACAGTTATCTACGAAAAGAAATTAAATCCAAATGTTTCTAACAAATACAATAATAATGAAAAAAAAACACGTGTTTGATGCAATTACCATTGCAAAATGCCCTATTATTTCCCTGCCCCACCCCCAAATACAAACAATGCGTGAAGCAAAAGCAGCATATTCTCCCACAAAACGTCTGGGGCATTTTGTAAAGGCAGATGAATGAGTTTAGACAAGACTTATCACATATGCTTTTATCTCCTAGTGACAGTTCATTAAAAGAAAGGTACGTCGTCAACAGAGCAGTTTATGCTGAAATGTTGCTAATTCTGTAAAATTGAACAGTAGTGAAGACACTGCTATTGCGCCAAGAGAACTTGAAAAATACTGTTGTGCTTTTTTTTGTTTTTTTTGTTTTTTTTTTTTTGTTTGCAGCATTCAGAGCATTCACAGAGGAATACAAAGTAAAGTTCATCAACTCAACAGAACTAATAATAGTCATGCTACTGGATCTACGAAACTAACACCGTAATAACTTATAAACGTGAATTAGTACATATTTAATTGGTATTTACAGTGATCTTAAAGCAATAGGCTGTGTGTTCAACTCTCGGGTTCTTTGTACACCAGTCCCTCCATGTTTCAGCTTATCAGCATGGCTCCTTTGACTTTTGAGAGTTACATAGGTAAAAATGCATAACTTTGAAAATTCAGAGGTATAAATCCAAAGTCTGCATCCTAGCAGATGGATTTCTTTTTTCATTTTGCAGTATGTGTTAGAAACTTCCTTTTGCCTAAAGCTGTAATATATTGCTCCTTCCTTCAGTTTTACACAGGCAGAATTCCCATTGGCTTTCTGCTTAAGGACTTCAAGAGTAGGCATACATGTTTTGTATTTTGAACCTCCACTGAGAGATGCTATCTGAGCAAAACATAGAGCCAAAATATCAATATAGAACATATGCCCTTAACCTTGCAATCATAAAAGCAATAGAATAAGAAATAGACTGTTTCTTCAAATACCTTTTACAAGATATGGCCTAGAGATCAGAGCAACTAAGCACACCATTGAATCTCTCTAGACTTGCAGCTCAAAACAATTCCAACTGACATCTAAATGGAAAGATACCAAGGCATGATAGATGGGAAGGAATACTAAGGCTTCTGATCTTCCATCACTGCTTAGCTGTTTGCACAGACATTTGTTTTTATTCATACCATATTTATATTTGAGGTAAAAATTTATTAACTAAAGTGATAAAATGGAATTAATTACCCAGATTGCTCTTAGATTCAGGCTTTACATTAATCACAGGTCTACAGTCGATGTCTAGCATAGTGACATCAACACCCAGTTTGGTTCACAGGTATAATTAAGATAATCTTATCTTTCAAATTAAATGTTTTTTAGCTATTAATTAAATAGGTCAATAATATTCTTGTGCTACTTCGTTGTTCTACAGTGAGATCCACCTGGGTTTGTGCTAGGTGTCATAAAAGAGAACTAAATAGCAATCAATAATAATATGGGCTTATGAGGTACTGCTGCTGTTTTGGAAGAGATCTCCGTTGCAGCTAAAAGGTAAGACTTAAATATTTAACATTTTTAAAAAAATAAACATTAAAAAAAATTACTTAAATGTAAGAAATACAAGGATGTCTGTTTTACTCCATCTGTCAAGTAACATGGAATATGATTACTGAGCAAGAAACCATTGCATGATGCATACAGTTCTGTCTATGCTTGCCAGTCATCTGACCTTTCTTTAGTGAGGAAACTGCCAGCAAAAATCTGCTCATAGAGCTTCAAGGGATTTGGTTCCCAGAACACCTGATCTGTTTCACAGTATGAAAGCATTTCAGCCAGAGTTTAAACTGAATATCATTATTAATAAGAATGAATTGGATAAAAGGCAAAAATACTGATGGCTATCAATGTAATAGAGAATTAAAAACTGCTTTTAGCAAAGCAAGCTCTTCAAAAGCACTGAACAAATGCATTGAAACATCTGGCAGGATGAGGGGCACACCAAAGAAGACAGAGCATTTTAAAGCTGGAAAACTTGTAAAGATGTGAGAGGGTTTGGCTGCAACAGTAACAGAAATGAAAGGATACTGTTCTGCCTGTCCGTCAGTTCAAACACAATAAATGGACTCCAAGAGTTACTATCTATCTGGCCATTTGCATCAGAGCACAAAAATACTTCCCTGAAGAACAAGACACATCTATCGTGTTTGTTTTCTGATGGCTCCCAGGCAGAGCAGCAAGTTTGTGCTTGGAGGGCAGGGGGAACAGATCCAAACATCAACAACGATAAGTATGCAGAGTATCTTCTTTTTAAGTCTTTTGAAAAGCAATTACAGATCAGATGTTTCTGTTAAGCAACTGGGTAACAACATCAGTGAAAATTTCAGTAGAAACCTGTTTGCTGCATGTTAAAATTTAAGATGGGGTAGGTCTGAAATTAACTTTTGCTGGCACTTTTGTTTCAATGAGTATGATCAATGTATGTTTAATTATATCTCTATATAGTGTATTAAAGCATGCCTTGTTTACTTACGGTTTTCTGTCTTTCTTCCCTCTTTGCTGTAAATGCTTTTCCTGCTTGATCTGTGCTAATTTGAAATATATATATATATATATTCCTTGCTTCTTTTTTACTTTTCAAAGGTTTTTTTTTTTTGGGGGGGGGGGTGGGGAGCATGAATTGACCCCCAAATCATACGAATGAAAAAAAATGGTTAGGTAGGCCCTGGACATTTTTACCAGACTGACTGCGTTTGCAGTAGGAGTTGAAAAAGACAAGTAGCATTTGTACTGAACTGTGCTTTAGGGATGAGAGTGAAGGAGTTAATTAGGTGATTTGAAGGTAAACCTTGTTTGAAACAGATCTAAGCTCAGGATATACGCAGAGGAAGAAACCTAGTTTTAAATGAACAAGTTGTTTATCGCTTAGAGAAGTGAGCAAGGAACACAGAAATATGGCCAGGTGTTATGGAAATATCAAGAAGCCAATTGTCACTGTGATTTGTACACGTTAAAGGCGAAAATGCTATTTTCTGTACATGCTTTTGGCTGCATAACCTTGTGCTACAAAGAAACAGCTCTTTAAGTTGCTCTAGTGTTAGATCAGATATCACCTCTTTGACATCACTAATGTTTGGATTTTGAGACCAATTCTGAGGCGAGGACACAGTGCATTAGATTTCTGCATTAGCACAGAAGCTCCTATATTCTAGACATTGAAGCATTAAAAGGCCTTTTGTGTTTTTGTTTAAAAAACGTATTTTGTATAAATTCCCTAGTGCAATAACTTTCTACACCATGTTACATTCTTTATATGCTTCCCCTGTAAACAGCTTTCCTGTATGAACTCACTTTGCAATTTGTGCGATACATGATTCCCCCCACCCTCCATTTGAATTCATGTTACTATTTACTCAAAAACTGTTCTGATTACTCTGCGAGCATCATTTAAACGTGTTCATTTGGTTTCATCATTGAAAATTAATTACAACTTTGATTCAGGATTCTGCAGTTAGTATAAAATGTAAAAAATAGACTGATTGCAAAGCTGTCTCCCTGAACAATCTTCATTTTCCAACGATATGAAGAGTCAGACTCCTCTCAGACGCACAGGGGAGTAACTTTGTCTCAGGACTCCTTAAGTTGTTTGAAAATTCCACAACTGTTGGAGGCTGACTCTGGGACTGAAAATACCCTCCCCTTAGTGTGGCAAATGGATAATAGGTCTGAAATGGCTTTGAAATTTTAGAAAAGCAGAAAAATATACTCAGGTAGTTTGCATAATTTGCTACATAGCAATTGATATTCTTGATGAATGAAGAGGTCCTGGACTGCACTTCTTGCACATGCTGTAGTGCAGCACATCCAGATCCAGTCCTGCAACTAGTCAAGTAAATATTTTGATCAGGAGTTATTCATGAGCTAGGTATGCAGGACTGTATCCCATGTATGCAGCCAAGACTGGAAATACCAAATGTCCTACCCCCTGACTCTGGAAATAATATTCAGCATAGTCAAAAGTATGTAGCGAATCAATGAAATTACAACAAAAGCACTTCTAAAGCTTGATCCTTTTGCTTTAAAGCTTTCAAAAAAATACAACATCTGTTAATAAAGAGAATTGCATTTCTTTTGCTTGTATAATTTCAAAATAACTGTGCTTCTCTGAAAATGTTTTAAATATGGCAGTCAATAAGGGCCTGGTCTTCTCAACTGGCTTATGTAGTTAAAGCTCCTGTTGATCGTACTCAAGAGAGAGTCTTACTGTCCTTGTTTACAGTCAGTCCCTTTTCCTGGCAGACGCTCATTGGTTTCAGGGGAATTCATCTGCACAAGGACTGAGGTTTTGATTTTACCACGGTTAAACTTTCCATAGGGTAGACTCAAGTTTGCATGAAGTACTGGTTTAGTTCAGGAGAGCGTAAAGAATTGAATCTTTGCTCCTGAAATAAGTTGCCTATGGCTGGAATCCTCCCTTTCCAGAAATGACACTGATCCAAGAGGGCTTTCCAAAAGTATAAAGGTCAGCAGGGAGAAAAAGCACACATTAGACACAGGACACAGACCTCAGCCTTGCCAGAACAACACTGTCATCTTGAATGGGATTTTTCTGTAGATCCAGAGCGTGGGATCAGGTCCCATTTGGACTCAATTTGGTCTTCCTTATCCACTAGGATGTAAAGGCAGATCGAACAGGCCCATGTGATTTCATTAAAACTGCACATAGAAAATACAGACCAACACTTTAGGCATATAAAAATTGACTGGCATTTAGTTTTTGTCACTGAAAATATCTAGCGAGAAAACATAAAAATAAATAGAGAAGATTAATGACTTTAAAATACTTAAGAGCTAAGTTTTGGGACAGGGAGACACAACATGATTAAGCAGGATGCCATATAAATAGTTAAAATTGAATGCAGCAACAAGTTGCAATGAACTGCAACTAATTTAAAAAAATACATATCATTTTTATTTTGAGAATTAATGACCAGACATTGTTCTGAAGAAATAACATTATATTCCCAGTGTTGCAAATGAGTGAGGAGAAAACTTATCGTTTGTATGGAGATCTAATCTTACAAAACTTGATTACTTAAGCAAAGAATTTGTGGTACACTCATGATTTGGTTCAGCCACCAGTGCTTTTCAAACTTACCTCTTTTCTATGGAGCAGGCTGTGACATCAGCTTAGCCAAATCAAGCAGAGGACAATGTTGCAATAAAATGCTTGCTCTTTTACATCAAATGTATTAGGTGCTGATTTACACCAATTTACATAACAGAAAATTGCACGTTAGTATAATTTAGCTGAGCTCCTCACTGGGAAGTAGAAGCCTGATGTGATCAACCAGCTTTTGGTTGGTCTAAAGTGCTTTTAAGGCTCTCATCCTTGTTGTCTCACAGCCTTTACAAGGTTCATTGTAATAATCCTGACCTGAGAGAAGCAGTTATCTTCCTTTTGTGCATAGGGAAGCGAGAGGCTCAGACTCAGGCAATAAGCCCATAGAACAGCAGGGACTTGATGCTCATTGGACTCCTCTGCCAGGCCTTCTGCCTATTTGTTAGCTGTGAGGCTGGACTTAATGCACTGACAAAGCTGTTGGGAGCATCCAATTTCAGAAGAAATCAGAGGACAGCAAGCAAAAAGACATGCATTCTGATTTCCTAAAAAAAAAGAGCATTTCATAGGGCACATTAGTGTAGCTGCATTTTTGCTTATGATTAGGATTAATGAATTGAATGAACTTTTCATGGTTTAGGAAATGAAACAATCTGTGGGTTTTTATTATTATTATGACTGTAGCATAGGAAGCTATTGGTGCTGGACAAAAAACTAGTAGCTTTTTTTTCAGACTGTTTGTAATGAAGGCTTTGGTTCAGCACTTTTCTTTAATAAAGCTGGAGAATACCAGAGAAAGCAAAGCTGTTTGGTTGATGTCAGTGGAAGCATTGACATTTCCCTTCACTATGCATAGAGAAAAGCATATACTGAGCTTTTGGAACAGCCACTGGAGAATGGGTTGAGGCAAAGTTGGTGCGTCAGGTAATACCATCTGTCAGTCCAAATTTGTGCCTTATGTCTTCACACGAAAACTGCTTCAATAGCACTGCCATCAGCAAAGTATTGGGTGTGGTATGTAAAGAAGGGGATTTGGAGATAGAGGGGAAGAATTATCAAGAGTTCTCAAAGATCACAGAAGCGAATATTTTAAATCAGCGGAAAAAAGAATGGGAGTAATATTTCTTGTAATATAAAATATATTAAGAGATTGAGATGAAGGTAGCCATTTGGCACTATTTATTGCCACAGAAAGAATTCTATGTCGTTGCTGTTTAAATTTAAAATGGAACATTTTTTTTTCTTAGTTATGAAATGTTGGCAGTATTCTATAAAAATATCAAATGCCTCAAGTTCTGGTCATTAAATCTTTGTTTTTCCTCAAGGATCATTAATTAAACTGACAAATGCAATAACAAAAGTTATGCAAATTAAAAAAAAAAAAAACAACCCCAAAAAACTACGATTTACAGCACAGACAAACTAAGATAATGTAGTCCCTTAATTAACAGATATATTCATGAGCTTTTTAACAGAAAGCAAGATAGGTGAGATGCTTTAAGTAGAAGTTGCAATTTTGCAACATAAGTCTGTACAAAACCTCCAGGCAGCACGCTGTGAAGGAAGTACCTGTGTCCCAGGAAATTCTTTTCCCACAAATCCTTTTTACCAGTAGCTTCTCCCCCAACCCCAACTATTTACAAATATATGCATTTTGCAAGACCAAAGCACCTTGTTTCACATCGTTATCAATGCATGCACTGACATTTCATCCTTTCATGTGCAAATTCTACAATTCTTTGTAACCAAGAGAACCAAAAAGTTAAAAGAGTTCAAAACCTGTCTACAATCATAAGCGAAAGGATCGAAAATGTCAGATGTTGCAGAACACTGGCTCTTAGCAGAGCACCCTTTATTTTATTCACTGTTCTCGAGTCATTTTTTTTCCTGTTTTTTTTTTTTTTTTTTTTTTTTAGTTTCTTACAAAAAGCAGTCTTTTTTTTTTTTTTTTTTTAAAGGAAACAGTATTTAAACTAAAGAACTCTTCATGCCATGCAAAAATAACATTTTATGCACTTTTTTTTTTTTTTTTTTGAGGCTTTCCATGTTTCAGTTCATAGGCATTACTAACTGCGGTTTAAGAAAAAGTATTTTTATTGCTTTTGTAACTAGTCACATGCTAGTTTCACGTGTGGGACAGTAACCAGTTTCTCCTGGACTTGTATGAATTTCTGGGGCAAATAAATGGTTTTCCATTTTGTGGCCTTCTTGGTTACTGTCTTTCTTCCCCTCACCCGCAGCATGGTAAATGTCTTGAGTACAGTTGTGACTCATGCTTTTGGGTGAAGAGCTGACCTGTGGCTCCTCTGTTAAATGGTTGCCATCGCTGTGTTTGTCCCCACAGCAATTTGTTTTAATATCCTGTTGTTTCTCATGTTTTATACCATGTAACTCCATAAACTCTTCTTCTTCTCCAGTGTCTATCTCAGTGAAGCTCCTCCTCTCTTTTGAAGGGAAAGTGAAAATCTTTTGTTTGGGAAACAGAGGGGATGATTTTTTGGAAGGTCCCTGACAAAGTCCTGCTGCATCTGCACCTAGTATAGGTCGTTCACCTTGGGGTGAATTTTCCTCCAAGAGAATGGTGCTGATGTGCTGAGGGGTGGCCTGGGGAAAGTCTGCTCCTGCCATCACGGGCAGCGGCCTTGCAGTGCTGGGTGGAGTTTGAGGAGCACCTCCTCTACTGTCTTTAAAATTAACTTTAAGGGATCTGGATTTTAATGGATTGCTACCTTTCAGAGAACTTTTGGGGCTTTCCATGGCAGTGTCGAAATGTAAATGACCATGCAAAACAGTCTGGGTCCCACTGCCATCACTGATAACAGCTCTGTCGATTGGAGTATAGTCAAAGGTGATATCAGTTGGAGAAAACATTCTGTCTTTTGTGAATGGCATAAACTGAGAACTCCTTACTCTTTGGTTGTCTTCTGGGTTGGCAGAATCACTTGGGAACCTCATCTGCAAGTGAGAGCCAGGAAAGAGAGAAAGTGGAGACCTCTCTGTTTCTGTGAAGTCGGTGGCACAGCTGGCAAAGCTGTCGATACTAGATGTGCTTCTTATGTCCGTGATGACGTCTGTTGGTCCAGCCGGCAACTGGTCTCTCTGCCCTGTAACTTCTTCCATTTCTATTTCTTCTTCATATGTAGGTGGCTTTGTGGACTGGTCTTGGTAACCAGCATTAAGATTAGGCTGAGACTGAGTTTTAGTGATTTCATTATATAGCATCTCCAGCTTCTGAGCACTGAGGTGCTGTGGGCTGGAGGACGCTGCGGCATTGTTTAATTGCTCATGGGAGTCTTGTTGGCTAACTTCTTGGTATTTGTTTTCATAAGACTTGTTTGAACTTGTTTCAGACATTGTCCTTCTGGCCCATTTCCACCGGCTCGGTGACAGATGGTTGTCATCGGGTGTCTCCTTTGAGTTGGCTGCTTCACCAGGCTTACCTGAATCTACTGCTACATCTATCATTTCCATGCTGCGCGCAAAGGCATCTTTCAGGTTCATGGAAACAATGCTGCCATTTCTTTTAGCTCGCTCAAGCGCTTCTCTCCTCTTAATTGCCTTCTCCTGTCTTTTCTGCTCCTTGTAAAACTCTGAGAAATTGTTCACAATAATTGGTATAGGCAGGGCTATAACCAGCACTCCAGCAATACAGCAAAGTCCTCCTACGATTTTACCTAACAGAGTCTTAGGATAAATGTCACCATATCCTACAGTAGTCATAGTGATCGTTGCCCACCAGAATGATGCAGGGATACTGGTAAATTTGGTGGCGTCTTCATCTTTTTCAGCAAAGAATACAAGACTTGAAAATATCATTATCCCCATGGCTAAAAATAGTATCAACAAGCCTAATTCATTGTAACTCCGTCTGAGAGTAAAGCCCAAAGACTGAAGGCCTGTTGAATGTCTGGCAAGTTTAAGAATCCTTAGGATCCTCATAATACGAAATATCTGAACCACGCGTCGGACATTTTGGAACTGCAGTACACTCTTATTGGACTCCGTGAGGAAAATGGTGACATAGTATGGCAAGATAGCCAGTAAGTCAATGACATTTAACGGCCCCTTGAAGAACTTCCACTTGTTTGGTGAGGACAGAAAGCGCAGAAGGTACTCCATGGTAAACCAAGCAATACACACAGCTTCAACGTGCGCTAGCTGAGGGTTGTCATTTGGCTGCCCAAATTCATCTATTTCTTGAAGCTCTGGCAGCGTGTTAAGAGACAAAGCAATAGTGGACAGTACGATGAAGAGAATGGACACAATGGCCAAAATCTGTAAAACAAAATAAATGTTTTGGTTAGACTGATGCAAGTGCATTTGTCAGGGTCTGCTTAAAATATTTAAAATATGCATGTGTCAAATAAACTCAGATTGAAGGAAGCTGTTTTGACTCCTGCATTCTTTATTTTAACATTTTGCTTTTTGCATAAAGAGAAAACATTGGAATCACCTAAACATGGTCAAAACCTGATTGTTTTACTGTTTGTAGTAAGCCTTTCAGAAAGGCAAGCCAAGTGGTCCTATTATTTTTTAAATTACGTAAGAAGGTAAGATATATTACTGCAAATTATTGAGTAAAGAATATAAGATTCCTGTTAATGTGCAGAATATAAATCTATTGGTTTTCTGAATTAAATGTAATTATACAGAACTTAGGGCAATGCAGAGAAATGATTGGGTAATACAGTGTGTAAACTGTCCATTTAATATGTGCAGAGACCTTCCAAGTCATGCATAAATTTATGGGGCAGAAGCTGAAATTAAGAAAACAAGAGGCAATGCTCTGGGGAACAGGTCTGCCCAGTTGCAATGTCTGCATACATTTTAGGTGCTAAAAGAATTGAACGTAGAAATAGGTAGAGAGAGTTAGAACATTACAAAATATGCAGTATTATGAAATTATGCCTTGCTTCTTGTAATCACTAAAAAGTGAAAGTAGGTAAATAAAAATAATTCTATAAACAATGCTTTGGGTTCTTTCTCAAGAGACAGGTTCCATAAAATTATTGGCATTGATTTTGATAAGAATCACACCTCTCATGCATGTTTCATGTTGCCCAAAGTTGCTGGTCATTCTCACTTACAAAACTGACGTAATGAGAAAAGAAATCGATCTATCAGAGAACATAAGATTTTTACTACAAAGTTTAGTTTTTCATACTCCAGGTAATGTTGGCAACTTGGAACAAATACATTATTGCTTTGATTAAAAGTCCTAACTATGTCTGTATTTTCATTCAAAACATGGAAACAAACTATTTTAAAAATTATTTTCTGTTTTAAAGCTTAGTTTAATCTCATTCTTAAAAGCATTTGCTCTCGTTTGTCAGAAATGGTACTGTGAAATCCATTCATGATATTTGATGTGCTTGCAAGCACACACTATAAAATTGCTGTGATATCCAAGACGAGTGAAATACAACTGGGTAGTATACAAATGTATTGTATGTAAGAAGAGATTGGTCACAGCAGTGATAACAGCTCTAGAGATGAAAATACCACTTCACCATTCCTCTGAAAAAACAGCACTAAGCCTATTTCAGCTGTGGGTTAGTAAGCATAAAGTCAGCTCTCTAATCACAAGCAGAACTGCTCACAGTATGAGGGCCTGTATTTGGCACCATCTTCTACTCACATTCTGTCTTTGGCCTTTTTCCAGCTTAAACAGAACAGGTAGCACCTTTCATATGTAGAAATACTCCAAACAGATGAGTATTTTTCCCTACTAGTGCTGCTTCTGCCTTTTTTTTTTTTTTTTTTTTTTTTTTGAGTTTTATTTCTTAGCAGAGTAACACTTGCTTACTCTTCCTACCAAGTGAGTTGTGGGCTGACTGTCTTCATTCTTCATACAGCCCATCCAGAAGTACTCTGGTCAATCTGTGCTGTGCAGGGGGTATACACCCCTTTATAACTGCTGCCCACAACAGAAAAAAGACCAACACTGGAAAAGTGTTTGCTGAGATGATAAAACAGAATGAAGGCAATAACACTCAAATACCTAGGCAGGGCTGAATAATGACATGGGTGATGGCCTGTAGCTAGGGCACAGCGGACAAAAGAAAACACTACTGCAGAGCAATAACTGCTTTCCAGTCTGTGAAATCTGACTGTATCAGATTTCACTGCAAAAAGGTTTGAAGCTTAACTAGAGTATACTAGGTTCTAGAAGAGGAGGCTCAGGGGAGACCTCATTGCTCTCTATAACTTCCTGAAGGGAGGTTGTAGTGAGCTGGGGGTCGACCTCTTCTCTCGTGTCATTAGTGATAGGACCAGGGGGAATGGTTTCAAGCTACGGCAGGGGAGATTCAGGCTGGACATGAGGAAGTATTACTTTTCAGAAAGGGTGGTCAGGCACTGGAATGGACTGCCCAGGGAGGTGGTGGAGTCACCGAGCCTGGGGGTGTTCAAGGAAAGGCTGGATGTTGTGTTGAGGGACATGGTTTAGTGGGAGCTATTGGGAATAGGTGAACGGTTGGACTGGGTGATCTTTTAGGTCTTTTCCAACCTTGGTGATTCTATGATTCTATGATTCTACACGTGCTTGAGTTCTCTAGCCTACTCAGTAATATAATAATGCTTTCAAAACCCAAAGAGCAACTAAACACATAATAAACATGGCACAGAATTGTTGAGCTTTCAATTTCTGCCACTGAAACCAACAGTCTCCTCATTTTGGCCTGCGTCAGCATGTGAACAATAATAATACAGAAAAAACTGCATAATCCAGGGACACAATTACTTGACATGCACAGTTCTTAGAAAATAAAATCATGAGAATATGTCTGTCTGTCATCAAACTGATTTTAATTAGGAAACACTAGTGTTTCAAAGTCTGTTATAAGAAATTTATTTTATGCCTGGGTATTCACCAGCGTATAAAAGATCCTAGGAAAATGGTGATTCACTATATAGCATCCCTTCTCCCACTGTGTGACAGTGTTAAAATTCCACATAAGACAGGTCACTTTATAGATGTTGAATACATAATTTTCATGTCCAGAGTTATCACCCATATTTTTTTTTTCTGACAATAATAAACTGTTTGCTGAGGCCACACATCATATGCTTTTAACATGCAAATCTGAATTTAATAAAATGCACAAATTAGCAAGTCTGAGATTTTTTAATGTTTTATACATGTCATAGAATCACAGAATGGTTTGGGTTAAAGAGGACCTTAAAGATCATTAGTTCCAACACTCCTGCTGTGGATAGGGACAGCTTCCATTGGATCAGAGTGCCTAGAGCCTCATCCAACCTGGCCTTGAACATCTCCAAGAATAAGGCATCCACCACTTCTCTGGTGCCTCAGCACCTCTGAGTGAAAAATTCCACCTAATATCTTATCCAAATCTCTTTTGTGTTCTACAGCTGTTGCTCTTTGTCCTGTCACTGTACTCCCTGATAAAGAGTCCCTCCCCATGATCCCTTTTAGGTACTGGTGCCTTCTCTTCTGCAGTCTGTACAAGCCCTGCTCCCTCAGTCTGTCTTTGAAGGAGAGATGCTCCAGTCCTCTGATCATCCTCATTATACTCCTCTGGACCTGCTCCAATAGCTCCACACCTTTTTTGAGCTGGGGCCTCCAGGCCTGGAGGCAGTACGCTGGAAGGGGCCTCACAAAAGCCAAGTACAGGAGGACAATCACTTCCCTAGATATCGCCTATAATTATGAATGTGTCACTGGGGAGAAAAAATACAGCAAAAGAAAGTATTTTGGCTTCTTCTACTGTAATAATCTCAAACTTTTATTTGTCTGGGACTCTGCTGTGTAATTGAAGTCGTGCATCATTCACATACAGTATGTTATAATTATTGCAATTGATTAAATTTTACAATTCCTTAGACAAAGAGTAGCAGAAGATCAATAGAAAGAACAATAGCAACTATGAGAAGAATGGGAAGAAAAGCGATTCCCTTTTGTGAGTCTACATAAAGAGCACTTGCAAATAGTGTTACACTGGTAAATCCCCATAGTACAGGAGTAGCTTATAGAAGCACTGAAATTACCAAAAACTGTATCAATCTGCCAGCTACCTATGCTTATCCAAAGAGTAAAAATACCCACTCTCTAATTGAGCCTTTACTAGCAAAACTTCCTGTGTTCTGATTCTGGACATGATTCTGGAAATGTAGTCTGGACTGAAATGCTTGGAAAATGCTGTCCACTTCAAACAGACCATAATCAAATCTTAGTGATACAATTCTGGACATTATTTTTTTATCTGTACTTCAGGAAATAAACCTTATTCTGTTTTAATGAGATATTCTGGCAGCTTATGTCATTCAGCTGCAGTTCTAAAAAACAGAAAACAAAAAAACCACCCACAAAAAACACATTACAAATTCAACTCCTTAAAAGTATTTCCTTATGAATTTTATTTTATAAACATAAAAATGTTTCCAAAATAATGGATGTGTTGACAGTCCTTTCTTATGTGCTGAGTATGAGGCATTTGAATCTCCTGCTGATTAAATGAATAGTAAAACGTTCCTTGAACTAATGATGCAATCTCCTGCAGATGTCATTTCAGATTTTTGGGTGGCAGGGTAACAGTCTCCTGAAAACGTTGTGGTTTTCCAGTATTAAGTTGTCATCAAACCCACGGAAGGCATTTTTTCTTGTGCATCCAACCAATACACTTTTTCATCTCATTGCTCATTATTGCAAGCACTGTAAGGATTTCTGTACAGAATGAGCATACAAGCTGAGGCAGAAAATACAGGTATAATAGAATAGGCTTCAAATTGCTCCTTGCAGTTCTGCAACTACTGACATTTTGAAAAGGCTTCTGACATAACCAGTATAACAATGTAATTGTTATATAAAGCAGAGAAAAAGTATACATTAGGTTCACACTAAAGCACAGCTGCTCAGGAAAAAATAATCACTTGAGTCATATCTAACAGCCAAGGCAGTATATATAATTAGCATAGGTTTCAAACTGTAATTAGGTATTAGCAGCATTGTTTCCTTAATTTTATTCCAGGTTAGGATCTAGGATAAGATCTAGGCTATTCAATAACAGACAGCAATAGTTTCACTATTTTTCAAATCTCAGTCTCTACAGGCACTGAAATTTATCAGGCTTCTACATATTCTCCCTCTTCTGCACTTAAATTTATGGCACTGTCTTCATATAAAGTGTTCTGGCAGCATCTTTATCTTGGGCTTTAGAAAAAGCAAAACAGGCAAAATAGTCATTGTTCTGCTCCTTAAAGACTTTTATAAGTAGATAGCCGTTTGTGGAGAACTCACCAAGTTTTTTGAGCAC